TGAGTGGACTACATGCATAAATACAACGTTAAGACGAATGCTAGACTTGTGTTACAGCACTATTTAATGAACAAAAATGTGGGGAGACTACTAAAACATTAACTGCTATCCCGTTTTTTAAAAAAATGTGGTATCCCATTGGGATACAAGTAAAATAAACTTAGTATCCAAAACCAAATTTCAGTATCCCGTGGATATCGGGATACCGCAAATTTCAGACCCTGGGTATGTATTAAAATAGAAGGATTTTATAGAGCATCTACACTCAATATAGCTATTTAATAAATAATTGATTTATTGTCTCATTACCCATCAAAACATTAAAACATCACGGATCACTTTTTGCAATTTCTGTCTGTTGTAAGTAGGAACACCTTATTTTATGAACCTACACGACCTTATATAAATATTATGAAGCCGCGTTCATTTTATCGAGCCGTGTTTTTCTGTTTTTGGCCGCGATAACACAGCCCTCTAGCTAAAACCCTGGATTGACAACTGACCTCTGTAGCTCAGTTGGTTAGAGGGCTGCACCGGAATTGCAGGGCCCAGGTTTGATTCCTGCTAGAGGGCCTATATAGTTGCATTTATCACAACTGCTACTGGTTAGGCGTAAAAAAATACCTGGGCCCAATACCCTTTGGGGCTGTCAATTTCCCGTTTGTAATACAAAATGACTGAAAAACGGCAAACTTCCCCAAGGCTATATTATCCGCATTATACAACATTTCGCAACGAAACTTTGGAATATTACTAATTTTGTGATACTCTTTCATGCTGTGATGAAATTTTTGTCAATTTGTCTAGACTTATTTAGATCAAAATTTAGTCTAAAATGCAAATGGTCCATTCTGGTAGCAGTAGTCATGCGACATCATAATGAAAGGGACCTATAATTTTGTGAACAACATTTTATGAACAGGCAAAACGAAGAGACTGAAGGAAGCGAAGGAGGAGGCTCAAGCGGAAATTGAAATCTTCCGCAAAGAACAAGAGAAAGAATTTCAAGATTATCAGAAAGATGTAAGTACAATTTGGGGATTTTACATACACATTAGCAGAATTTATATTTGGAGACAGCTTCCCAGATCTGCATGTCCATTAGGCTTTCTTATTGGCTTAAAATATGAAACAATAACAAAGATAGCCAATAAGATAAACAGCAATTTCCAGCAGAAAAAAAAATACAAAAAAAACACTGAGGAGTTTTTAGGAGTGACAAAAAAAATGGCTGGCGTTAATTTGAAAATGGATGCTGATTGGTTGAGAGGAGTACAATTATTTCATTAATTGTGCTGCAGTACAATTAATGATTTTCCCAAACAAACAAAATGGCGGAAAGGTATTTTAAACACAAATGTGAAATGAAATTTTAAACACAAATGTGAATGAAATTGCCCTCTGAGAGGAACTAGATGAAAAGACGAACAAAAGCACCAATACGAACAAAAAATACCAACAAGTGTCAACAGCCAAAGGGAAACAAGATCATCCGATCCTGACCATTTGTCATTCACGACAACACGATGCAAGACAACCACATTCCAAAAGTCCTATTTAAATAGATGTACCAGAATGTGGAATGTACTGCCAAAGAACTTGACAGGCAATACGCAATAACACCAGCCTTAGTCAGTTAAAAATTGGACTTTTTATGTACTATAAAGTAGCATTACAAACGGTCTACGACGTGGATGATCCAAGAACATGGAAATCAATATGTTTGTCCTGTAACAAGTCCCGTAATCTGTCCTGTGAAGTATCGTGTT